AATCAAATGTTTTATTGAGTTCGCAAACGGATCTGTTTGGTCATGATTCGCAATCGGATCGGATACGGAGCTCGCGAACGGACAGAATACGGATCAATCCGAATAATGTACTGCTATTTACTGAAAACGGTTCGCGTGCCGTCCGTATGCGGTTCCTATTTCAACCGCGCGCGAACGCGAAGCGGCCGTAACGGACCCGTTCGCGTTTTACCTGTGCTAGTAAAACTAATAATTGTCAGATCAATCCAAAAGTTTTAGAGCACACTAAACAAAGATAGAGCTTCAATTTAGTAGTTGACAACTTTTTTGTAAAATTTGACCTGTAAGAGATATGCCACGTGGAAGTGTGGGTGCCTTCGGGCGCCACCACCGCTAGTGCGCTGACGCGCCTTCTGAGGATCTTCTCTTCCACGTGGCATATCTTTTCTAGGTCAAATTTTACGAAAAACTTGCCAACTACAAAAATGAAGCTCTATTTTTGTTTAGTGTACAATGAAATTTTTAAACAAGTTCAAAAATTGTGAAACACTTTTGTAGGGCTTCAAAGTTTTCGATTTTCAACTGGGCTTACCTGATAATCAATCTGCCTCAAATAACTCGGATCATCGATGCCATTGGCTCTTAAAAACTCCACATACGCTACTTGGAACGCTTGTCCAATTGATTGAGCAATGAATGAGGCTTCGTCGGATTCGAATACGTGGCAAATGACTTTCGGCGTCTTCCGGACACCTCCACTGCTGCTGTCGCTGAAAATTGGGTTGTTATGGTCACAATGATAACACACAGTAATCCTTACCCATCCGAACAACTTTCATCCGAATGACTTGTGGACATTCTCCTCGCCATCAGAACTACCAAATCGCCGATATCGGCAATATAGCTGATTGTCCGTAGAGCGTGGTCCATTAGAATGTCCTGTCGAACATCGGTGTCGGATATTCTCTGAAATTTTGAACATTTGTATCTCAAAAAATGAAAAAGTTAAGACAAAAGTGTTAATAACCAATAAAATATGCAAAAATTAGTGTTTTTTATTTTGTCAGTTAACAAAATTTTGTTAGCTAATTCAGTTTTTGAGATAAGCTCCGCAAAAGGTAAGGCATCTTGGTGCGCTTGCAGTATAGCGCTGTGCTTTGAAGGACTGTATCTCAAAAACTAAAAAAGCTATAAAAACTTTGTCAACACTAAAAATATGCAAAATTTCATGAGCTACATTTTTGTAGTTTACAAAGTTTAGCTAGCTAAATTCGTTTTATAGATATAACCACCCAAAGTTGGCCCAACATCAAATGTCTATACCAATAAAAGGTACCCTTAACTTTGATTAAGTTTATCTCGGCTCTAGTCAAAGATACCAAAAAACGGTTAATTGACAAAATGTGTATTATAATGTGATACATATTTTATCAGTTGACAATTCTTTGATATCTTTCACAGAAATCGAGATAAATGGGTTCAAAGTTGACGGTTCTGAGGGAGGTATTTTGCATAGTTTTTATGGCATTATAGATCAAAAGCTAGAAAACCAAAAATTCCCGACCAACCTGCAGGTCCGTATTCAACACCATAATCTTCTCGGTCGAAATGAACAAATCGATTTCCGTCGACGGTTGCACATCTCCATCTGGCGCCTTGACTCTCGCCACCGCCTCCTGCGCCTGAGCCATTCGAGCCGCTTTCGAGCCACGCGATTCGCAGAGCATTTGAGTTGAGCCCAAGTATCGAGCACGGAACAGGACACCCTCGATGAGAACTGCAGGTTCATGAACCATTGCTGAAATTTTAACAAAAATTTGAATTTGGCGCCGAAACCTTTGAATTTTTTGGATGCCTTATAAGCTGAGAGGGGGGAAGAGGGTCCGGTTCACTCGTCAAAAAAATAAGCCACCACCATAGAAAGAGAAATTATAAAATCGATCAATAAGCCGAGTTTTGAAAAGGGGCGGGGCCAATAGAGCCAAATAGGATAGAGGTGTAAGAAACACACAGTGTTAGAGTGATTTATATCTCAAAAACTAAAATTTGAATATTTGATGATATTTTAAAAGGTAATATCACTGAAACCAAGAAAGCTAGAAGAAAGGTGCTAACTAACAAAATTTGTAAAATTTTATGAGCTATTTTTTTGTAGTTCGCAATTTTTGTATAGCGTTGATAGTTTTTGAGATATTCCATGTTTAAGGTGAGGCGCATAATTTCTCTTGCAGCGGAGCGCGCTTGCTTGGAATGGTCGTATCTCAAAAACCAAAAACGATAGAAAAAAAGTTTCAACTAACAAAATGTATAACAATTTATGAGCTATATTTTTGTGATGCATAATATTTTGTTAACTGTTTTGGTTTTTGATTTATACCCGGTTAAAGGTAAGACGCATAAAACCAGTGGAGCGCGTTTTATGCCTCTTTAGAGCAGTTCTATCTCAAAAACTAAAAAAGCTAGAAAAAAAAGTATCAATTGCTGAAATATGTAAAATTTAATGAGCTTTATTCCTGTAGTTGACAATTTCTGTCTATCTTTAATAGCTCTTTAGATATACGTTGTTTAAAGTGAGGCGCGTAATTTCTCTTGCAGCGGAGCGCGCTTGCTTGGAATGGTCGTATCTCAAAAACTAAAAAAGATAGAACAAAAGTATTAACTAACAAAATATGTAAAATTTGATGAGCTATATTTTTGTTGTTGAATTGTTTTGTTTAGCGTTAATAGTTATCGAGATATACCTTGTTTACGGTAAGATCTCTCTTGCAGTGGAGCGCGCTTGCTTGGAACGGTTATATCTTAAAAAATAGAAAAGATAGAAAGAAGAGCTCAACTGATAAAGTATGTCATTTTTTATGCTCTTTATTTTGTTAATTGAAAACTTTTGTCTAGCTCTGATGGTTCTTGAGATATCCTCTTTTAAAGTATGGAATCTCGTTTTGCTGCGGAAACTATAAACAAATAGTGATATTTGGCATGCAGAAAAAATGAAAGAAAACCAACTAAAAAGGCATATATTGAATACTTAGGAATTGCCAGAAAAAGCCACAGTGCATCAAGGGAGAGGGACTTTGCAGCGCATTCCATAGTTTTGAAGGATTACTGTACTCCTAGCAGGGAGTACTGTAGATCACGATAACTCACCAAATTATTTTAAACAACTACTGTGTGTAGACATAGGACGTATGTATGTGGGTGCCGATGTAATAGGGGGTTTTTTGAGTTTCAAGAATCTTTTTTTTTGAAAATAATTTTCTAATAAAACTAAATAATAACTAGAGGTGTGTGTAAGAGAAAATAGGAGATGACAACACAAGTGCAGAAGGTCCGCTTGGTCAATTTGAATTTTTTGACTTTTTTTTTGAATTTTTCGTTTGAAACTGAAAATCCACTGCATTGAAAGTTTTAGAAAACCACACTAATACTTATTAAACACAGTTTTAGTCAGTTCCAACTTTTCAACTTTTTTTAAACGTACCGTAAACCCTTCAACTTTGAGCTCAAATATCTCATTTGCTGTGAAAGGTATCAAAAAACGGTCAACTGACAAAATGTTTATCATAATATCAGCAACATTTTGATCACTTTTTGATATCTCTCACAGGAACCGAGATAACTTGGCTCAAAGTTGACAGTTAAGGGGGTTTGTGTTAACGGTATTGAAAAAAAACTCACTCTCTTTGCTATTCTTCTTCTTATCCATACTTCCTCGCCGATTCTCCGTACCCGGTGCGCCTTTAATTCCGCTTGATGGTCCCCCACCGGCTCCATTCAATAGCCTATCGGTTTCTTGCTCTTCTTGCTCATCACCAGCCCCATTTTCTGCGGCTTCCTGTGCAGCTGTCGCCGCTTCATGCCAATTCATTTCCTGCAGAGAAAACCGTTTTAATGGAAAAATCCGTTTTAAAAGATAAATTGGGGACCGGAAATTAAGAGAATTTCATTACTTTTTTGGAAGGAGAAAATGCTCAAGCGCATCAATCTATCTTGAAAAGCGGCAAAACGGCACGCCTTTCTCTATGCTTTCCACTCTCTTTCCTCGTTGGTGGTGGTGTGGCGCAGTGGTAGCGCGCTTGCGTTTTGAGGTAGAGGCCAAGGGTTCGAACCCATCCGAGCTTTTTTCTTTTTTCTTCTTTTTCAGGACATGGGAATAAGGTTTTAATCAATTTTAGGGAAATAAAGATTATTTAGGTTTATGTGAGTTTGTGAAAATTGGCGGGCCATCTGCTGGGAAACTAAAAAATCCAAAAATGTTGAAAAGTCATTATTTCTATTAAAAAAAAAGATCAATATTTCTCTAGAAAATCTGAAATCTGAAATTGAGAACCTTTAAAAATAAAGATTCCAAATTTTCAAAAAATCCAAAAAAGGAAAAAAGTTCCGGAAATATTTCTCCGGCTTTCCTCAGATTTTTCTCCAGCTATACATCTTTTTCTCAAGGGTGTCATTATTTCCTTTTTCTGCTTTTCTTTATATACTACACTCATTTTTATATCGCATTATCATAAGTTTGGAACTTTTTTAAAAAGAGTTCCAAACTCGAAAAATTGTAAAAACTTGAGATTTGGTTTGTAGAAAGAACTCTACTATGGATAACTATTCTAAAAAGAAGCAAAAAAAAAGTTTGGACCTTATGGTCCTCGATGGGGTTCGAACCCGCGAGCCATGGCTTCAAAACCAAAGTCGCTAGTCACCACACCACGCGCTACACACTTTCTCCCTATGCCGCAAGGCATATACAACATACCTCCTCCTCGGAAGTCCTTTGCTCCCTCTGCATCTTTTTGAGGTACGAATCCCGAAGAACCCATACTGGATCCTCGGTTCCAGATGACGTGGATGGTGCTCCATTAGGTGTTCCGTTAGACGTCGTGCTAGTATTCGACGTCCCGTTCTCCTTATTCTCTTCAGGCCATCCAGAACCCGAGTTCTTTCGATGAATCGGATGAGATGGAGGTGGAGGTGGTGCCAGACCAGTTGATGACGTGGTGGTTCCAGATGACGTCGAAGGGGGCGGAGCATCGAATGGTGTTGGGGCTGCTTGCATGTGCTGCTGAGCAATTTGTTGTTGAGCAAATGCGGCGGCCAGTTGCTCAGGAGTGAATTGCTGAGCGGTTACTGTAGGTACAAGTGGAGTGGTGCCGTTGGCGAAGTTGGGAAGGGGTGGTTGTTGTTGGAGGAATGGATTGGTCCCGTTGTTCACGAAGGTAGCTGAAAATAAACTTTTATTTAATGAATAAAAGCATTTGTTTTGGTCCCCTGACAAAATTTTCTCGAGACCTTAGAATTTTGAAAAAAAAAACATTTCTGAATGCTTTAAACTTTCCTAACGCCTTCAAAAAGAGCAAAAAAAACATTTTTTCCCTGGTTGGATTCGAACCCGCGAGCCACTGTTCCTAAAGCAATGCCGCTAACCACTACACCACGACGCACACGAAGGAACTATGTCTACAAGGCGTATAGAACACCACTCACTCTCGCCAGTTCAGTGGAGCGCGGTTGCGGCGGCGACAAAATTTTTTTGTTTGGAAACTTGGTTTTCAGCCAATTTTCAGAAATTTTCGTCGTTTTTTCGAACTTTTTGCTACAAACTGGTGTTCATCAGGCTAAGACAAACATTTTGAGTGCAAAAACAGTTTGTTCGGTAGAAAAATGAGAGAGAAAATCGGAAATTTTCAAAAAATTATCGATTTTTTGATTTTTTTTTCCACTTAAAATGTGTATTTCAGCATGAAAAGAACTACTTTTATCAGCAAAAATAAGCGAAAATCGACAAAAATCGATTTTAGTAAGAATTTCACAAAAACACTTCGAGCAACCGCGCTCCACTTGACAAATTCGCAATAGAGCGCATTTGAAAAATCACTTACGATTAGGTTGTTGCATGAAAAGAGTATGTTGGTGTGGTTGCATCATTTGGAAGCCTGGCGTGGTGCCGAATGGAGCTTGTGGAGTCATCTGAAAAATTCAAATTTCTCGCCAATTCTTCAAAAATCGATATTTTTAAATACCTGTACAAATGCTGCGTTCTGCGCAAAATTCCCGGCGAACATCGAGTTATTAGCGAATTGGGCCGCAGGTACCGTATTCTGAGCGGGTCCGACGGGTCCAACCGTCGGAGAATCTTCGGGAAGATTGAAAGATGAGCGTAGTTGGTTTAGAGACTCCTTTGGAGCTGGCTTCTCAACCACAGCAGGTGCGGTATACGGTAGACCGCTCTGGAAAAGTGTTGATCAGGCGGGAATTCAATTTTTGTTTCGAAAATCGCACAACAACAGCAATAGAATAGGAAAACTCGCTTCATAGATAATAAGTTAAAAGGTGCACAACGGGTTAGTACATGCGGGAACTTGTGCTCCATTGATAAACATTCGCGATGGAGCACAATTGAGACAATCACAACGAGATGTGGTACCTTCTCGGAGAACGGTGAAAAATCGTCGGCGGTTAGTTGAGTGATGGGTTTCGATGCTCCGATGAGCTCCGCCAAACTGTCGTCGTCGATCTGCATAGATAGGGGTAGTGTAGAAGGGGTTAAGAAACCGAAAATTTTCCCGAAAAACCCATAAGCGATTTGTTAGACCTTAAACATTTTTTAATGTCCATAACTCAAACCATTTTGATCGTTTTCGCTTGAAACTGATATTTTTAAATTTGTCTTGTCAAGCGCTTCAAAATGAGTATAAACAAAGCTAGCTTTGAAAGAGTTAGCGGGTTACTGTAGTTTTCGCGGTGGGACCCATTTTTCTAAACATAGGCGTGTTTATACTCATTTTGAAGCTCACAATCAGCCAAATCAAACAAAATAAGTTTCACTCAAATTGAGTCAAAACCAAGCGAGTTATGGTCATTTGAATTTTGAAAATCAGCGAACATTCAAATTTGTTCAATATCTCCGTTGGTTTTGGCTCAATTCGAATGAATTTAAATTTTTTGAATTGGCTTGTTCATACGCTTCAAAATGAGTATAAACACGGCTAGTTTCGGAAGAGTTTCAGGGCTACTGTAGTTTTCGTGGTGGGACCCACTTTTCTAAACAAAGGCTTGTTTATACTCATTTTGAAGCTATTGACTTGCTGAATTGAAAAATATAAGTATGATGAGTTTCCGACTGAGTTTATCCAAGTTATGGTACTTTTAAACCTTCCTCAATTAGTCCTCTAAAGTGATGGTTAGTGCTAATAGCTAAAAATTGAACTCAAAAATTTTTTTTTAATTCCCATTTTTTTTTGAAAAAGTAGTGAAAAAATAGGAGAAAATCGGGGGAAAAAAAAAGAAGTGAGTGAAAAAGTGTGTGCTTTTTTTTGTGGATTTGGGAATGGAAAGGGACCATCTGAAGAAGAGAGAGAGAGCAGAATTTTTGAAGAGGGACCAGAGAAAATGAGCAATGGGACCGTTATTAGATTATGGGAGAGAAAGGGGACGGGGTTAGGGGAGGAAATAGTGGATTGTTCTTGAAATCTCTAGCTCAGCTTCCAGGAAAAAGAGACGCAGAGAAGCTAGAGTGTCTCGCTTTTTGGCGTATTGAGAGTGGAAAGTGAGCGCTTAAACTTCCAAGCGGCGTATCTCAAAAACTAAAACTTTTAAAAAAAAGTTGTCAACTAAGAAAATGTGTAAAATTTTACGCTCTTTATTTTGTTAGTTGACAAAAATTTGCTCGCAATTACAGTTTTTGAGATACATCCGCTTAAAGTTAAGACACCATCTTTTAACTTCAAACGCTTGTATCTGAAAAACTAAAATAGATAGAAAAAAGTGTTCAACTGCAAAAATGTATAAAATTTTACGCTTTTTATTTTGTTTGTTAGCAAAATTTTGCTAGCTCCTCTAGTTTTTGAGGTACATCTATTTTAAGTTGTAGAGCCCCTCTTCCTCACACTAATTCTACACTTACCTTCTTAATATTCTTGTTTTGCGACCTCCTTGTAATCTCCTTTTCCATTTCGCTCATCTGTTTCCGAATCAACGAATCCGTTCGATCGCCGGAATTCTTTCTCTTCTCCTCCGATTTCTCTTCTCCAGATGACGTGGATTCTGGAGACGCTTCTCCCGAAATGACGTCGCCAACGGCAACGTCAGAGGAGGTTGGAACCAGGGTGTCTTCTGAAAAATTTCTAATTTAGCGCTTGATTTTTAGTAATTGTCAGCAGAGCGCGTTTTCATATTTCCTAATTTTACATTACAAAAAAAATTTGGCCGCTCGCTTTCCTTTGAAAAGTTGCGCCGACCACCACCTTCCTAATTACCTTCGCTCTCACAGTTAAACTGTGCGCGCGTAGCCTAGTGGCTAAAACTGCTGCTCTTTAGTTTTGAAGTCTCGGGTTCGACACCCACCGGCGGTTTTTTGTCTTCGTTTTTTTTTCATAGTGGTTTATGAAGGAATTTCGGGTTTTTATCTCATTTTTCTCAAATTTTAATACTTTTTTAGTGCAAATTAGCTCTAAAGTTGGCTTTTCAGGTCCCTCAAAAAGTAGTCTGACTGCTCAGATACAACTCAACATCTTCTCTCGTTCCACAAATACATACACACATCGAACAATTAGTGGAGAATCGACAAACGAGATGTGCGAGAGAGAGAGAGTGAAATGACAAGAGACGCAGAGAAAATCTCTCGTTGAGCCGCCCAAAAGGCGAGAGAGGGAGATGATCTTGTGTTTCAGGATGCCTTCTTTTGGGACACTAGAGGAGTACTAGAGAAGGGGGAACATATATCAAAAACTAGAAAAAATACTCACCAGCGGAATTTGAAACAACAGGCTCCTGAGTTTCTGGCGACGTTGATGCTTCCTTAGATCCCTCTGGTTTCGTCTGAAAATAACTTAATTTCGATTTAAATTCGTCTTTGAACGGTTTAAGACACTAAATTCCCTTAAAAATCAGTTGTTCTCATTGGAGCGAACTATCTTACACCTCACGATGGCCCCCCGACGCTCCTCAAAAAGTTTGGCGACCCGCTCCCTTCTAATCGCCCGGCACACCTATAATTCCTGCGCGCCTTCGTGGCTTACTGGCTAACGCTGCCGCCCTCAATTTAGCCCACTGGGGTTCGAACCCCACTAGAGGCAATATTGTTTTTTCTTCTTTTTTATTCATTCTCAAGTGTTTCTAAACGAACCTCTCGATGATTTGGTGATACATTCGACGAGACACAACCCATACTGCCAGCTGTCTGCCTTCCATTATCGTCTTCTGAGCGATGAGATGATGATGCCTGAAGAATAGGAGGATACTTATATGTATTTATGAAAAGAGGAGAGCACAGATGAATGTCATTTGAGGGGATGACTGACAAAATAGAAAATGGGACAGGGACACATGTCTCTTGAGATCATCAAGTGGTTTCGTATACTCTTCTGCCTGTTTGTCGGTTTGTCCTGATGTCTGGGAGCAAGGACTCTTGGAGCATGTTGCGAAATGTTTTATGTCCCTTTTTTTGTTGCACGTCGTAAGAAATAGACATTTCGAAATAGATCATGTTGAAACTGCGAAAAAGGATGACTAAGAGGAACCAAATAATTCTAGACATCAAATTTTGTAACACTAGTGCTCTTCAAAAGCATGTATCTCAAAAACTAAAATTTCTAGCAAAGATTTGTCAACTGATAAAATGGAGAGGACAACATTTTACACATTTTCTTGGTTAGTAAATTTTACCTAACTATGTTGGTTTTTGAGATAAAGGCGTTTGAAAGTAGAGCGCCGTTCAGGTGGCTCAACCAAGGCACCATAATGTCACTTGACTTTAAACGAGTTTATATCAAAAACCAATAGAGCTAGGCAAAAATTTAAACTAGTAAAATATAGCTTATAAAATTTCATACATTTTTTTAATTTACAAAATTTTGGTAACTGTTTTTGTTATTGAGATATCGGTGTTCAAAGAAGCTTCACCGCAAATACACCAATTTTTGGAACTAATACTCTTCAAAAGCTTGTATCTCAAAAACTAAAATTTCTAGCAAAAATTTGTCAACTAATAAAATGGAGAGGACAACATTTTACACATTTTTTTAGTTAGTAAATTTTACCTAACTATGTTGGTTTTTGAGATAAAGGCGTTTGAAAGTAGAGCGCCGTTCAGGTGGCTCAACCAAGGCACCATAATGTCACTTGACTTTAAACGAGTTTATATCAAAAACCAATAGAGCTAGGCAAAAATTTAAACTAGTAAAATATAGCTTTTAAAATTTAACACATTTCTTGAATTTACAAAATCTTGGTAACTGTTTTCGTTATTGAGATATCGGTGTTCAAAGAAATGTTTCCTACAAGAGCTTGTAGCTAGTCCTCTTCAAAAGCTTGCATCTCAAAAACTAAAGCTCCAATCAAATTTTTGTCAACTAACAAATTAAAGAGCATAAAATTTTACACAGTTTACAATTTACAAAATTTTCATAGCTCCTCTAACGTTTGCGCTACAAACCTGAGAACTAGGTCGCGGCTGTTGGAACGCCGGTTGAAATTGCATAGGGAAGGGAATGGGAAACTGCGCTCCACTGGCGGCCATCATTTGTTGAAAATAGTGATGCATGACTTCTTGATATTGTGCCGGCGAGAAAACCATTTGATTCGGTTGAGGCACGCCACTTGGTTCTCCTCCTGTTTCTTGTTGCTGTGGGACACCTGATGGCACATATGGATTCATGAATGGATTCGCGAAGAAGTGACCGGGTGGAATCATTTCTGAAAAAATTGAAGTTGAAGTAGTGAAAAACCTCTATTGAGCATATTATGCATTGGCTTGTTTTACTGATTCCAAAACTGCAAATTTTAATGCTCTAGGTGCAAAATGAACCGAGTTATGACAGTTTTAATAAAATTGAGCAAGTGCGCCCCATTGCGAAAATCTCAACGTTTGCAACCTAGTCATTATTATGATCATTTTAACCGGCTTAGTTTGCTGATTTCAAGACTGACAATTTCATTGATCTAGATGCAAAATAAACCGAGTTAAGTTAAAAAAATTTTGAGTAAGTGCGCTCTACTGATAAAAACTAAACTTTTCAATGGCTTGTCATAATTAAATTCATCTGAATTGAATTGTTCTGCTGATTTCCAAACTGCAAATTTTATGGCTCTAGGTGAAAAATGAACCGAGTTATTTTACTAAATATTAACAAGTGCGCCCCATTGCGAAAAACTAAAATCCCTAGAACCCAGTCATGATTATATTTATTCTAACTGGCTTGTTTTGCTAATTCCAAAACTGAAAGATTTATTGCTTTAGCTGCCAAATGAACCAAGTTACGACAGTTTTAATAAAAATGAGCAAGTGCGCCCCATTGACAACAGACACTTCGGGGACAATGGGACAGTTACTGATACCATATTCAACTTTGTCATGGAATTTTCAAAGTTTTTAGCTCCATATTGCCTATATTCCGATCAGTTTGAATTTGCAGAAAATTTTGGTGCAAATGCGCTCCAATGCGAAAAATGAAAGTTTTTTGAAACCCAGCTATGATTATATCTATTCTGTCAGTCTTGATTAGCTGAATTCAAATCTTCAAATTTTATTGCTCTAGGGGCAAAATAAATCGAGTTATGACAGTTTTAATGGCGATTAATTTTTGGTAAAAATCGTCGCTGACACTTAGGGGACAAATGGGACAGCGTGAAATTGTTTGAATTCTATAAGCCAATTTGTCATAAAATTCCCCACATTTTGAGCCCCATATTGACTATATTCCGATTAGTTTGAATTTTCAGGTGCAAATGCGCCCTAATGATGAAAACATCAAAGTTCAAGGAATATGGACATTATTATACTCAAAACTTCAGAAATTTTGTGAGAAAAACGAATCTGGTGTTTGTTTTTCCCGGAGCTAGCCGAAACTCGCTCTATTGCACTTTTTGTCTCTTTAAGCCGCGGATTTTTGGCCTGCCAGGCCTAAAATCGAATTTCGAGGAATATAGGCAAGATTATACTCTAAATTTCACAAAATTTATAGAAAATTATTGTATTTAATCAAGAAAATAGGCAATTACAATTTCAAAACAGAGAAAAAATTGATGACTCAGAAGATTCCATAATTTTTCCCCTGAAAAACAAAAATGTCTATTTTCTCTTCCGTGGTGACAGGAGGCGACTAGGTTAGGCGACATAAATAATAGCCTATTTCTTTGTTGTTGGGGACGATGGGAGGAGAAAACAAGACAAGAAAATAATAGAGGACATCGTCTTTCTTGGCTTTTTTACAGACCAAAAACGAGGAATTTTTAATATTCCAGTGAGAAGCCTCCTGAAAATATGTATCTCTTGTTTACAGTCACGAAATTTTTTTGCGGATTTTTGGAAAACCCCGCAATTTTTTTTTCTATAGACGCATATCTATCAAAAATAAGTGCTAGATTCGGATTCTCCATAAAATTTGTGAAATTTTGAGTATAATATTGCCTATATTCCTTGAAATTTGAATTTCGACCGCAGCCGAGGCCGCGGCCTACTGGTAAATTTGATCGAAAATCAAAATAATCGGAATAAGGTCGATATGGAGCTCAAATTTCCGGAAATTTCATGACAAAGTTGAATATGTTATCAGAAATTGTCCCATTTGTCCCCTAAGTGTCTGTTGTCAATGGAGCGCATATTGTCAAGTTTCTTAAAACTGCCATAACTCGGTTCATTTTACACCTAGAAAATTTTACTTGTTAGTTTTGGAATAATCAAAACAAGCCAGATAAAAAGAGTATAATCAAGACTGGGTTCTGGTATTCTAGTTTTTCTCAATGGGGCGCACTTGGTCATATTTATTAAAACTGTTATAACTCGGTTCATTTTGCAGCTAGAGCAATGAAAACAGTTGTGTCATCAGCAAAACAAGTCAGATAAAATGAGTATAAACATGGTTTAGTTCCAAAAATGTTAATTTTTAGCAATGTGGCGCATTTGACTAAATTCATTAAAATTACAATAACTCGGTTAATTTTGCACTTGGAACAATGAAAGTTTTAGTTTCGGAATCTGCAAAATAAGACAGATAAAATGAGTATAATCATGACTAGGTTTCAAAAATTTTCATTTTTCTCAAAATTTGCAATTGGAGCGCGCTTGAAGTGAAACCGTCCATTTTATCGATAAACTATTGAAAATTTTGTTTTAAAAAAAGAAAGAAATGAAACATACGAAATGGGACTTGTTGTTGCTCGGCGGTAGTTGTCCCACCACCACCCGGAACTCCGCCCCCTTTCAAAGGGGGCGTGGCCGCCGGCGTTGTGGAGGCCGTGGCCGAGACGACTTCTGGAGCCGCTTCAGATGACATCCTGAAAATTCTGCCTGTTCAATGATGAAAATGGGGAGGGGACCAATAGAAACGGGACGGAAAAAGGACATGGATTATTGGGTGCTTCGTGTCTCGTGTCGAATTAATTAGGAAGAGAGAGAGAGAAAGAGGGAGGAGAGACGCAGAGACATCGAGAGAGTATAGAAAGAGAAGCGAGACTTAGAGAAATAGGGAAACGTGGGAAAGCGAAGGGAGGGAGAGAATTAATTTACTTGCTCCATCCAACTTGATGTGTGTCGAATGAATAAGGCAGGGAAACGTTAGTTAGATTAAAACGGAAATTGAGAAAAAAAGTGCAATAGAGCGAGTTATCTGAAAAAGCAAACAACAGATTTGTTTTTCTCACAAAATTTCTGAAATTTTGAGTATTATATTTTAGTATTATATTCCTTAAAGTTTGATTTTTTTATCATTAGGGCGCATTTGCACCTGAAAATTAAAAATATCCGGAATATATTCAATATGGGGCTCAAAATGTTGGAAATTTAAGGTCAAATTGGATTATAGTTCTCGAACAATTTTACGCTGTCCCATTTGTCCCCTAAGTGTCAGCGACGGTTTTTAGCAAAAATTAAGCACCACTAAAACTGTCATAACTCGATTTATTTTGCCCCTAGAGCAATAAAATTAGAAGATTTGAATTTAGCTAATTAAGGCTGACAAAATAAGTATAATCATGGCTGGGTTTCAAAAATTTTCACTTTTCGCATTGGAGCGCATTTGCACCAAAATTTTCTGAAAATTCAAATTGATTGGAATATAGTCGATATGGGGCTCAACATGTTGGAAATTTTATGAAAAAATAGAATGTAGCTCTCAAAAATCTTTAGACTGTCCCATGTGTCCCCTAAGTGTCTTTTGTCAATAGGGCGCGCTTGAGAAGTTTACCAAGAGCCTAGTCTTCTCAAAACTCTACAAATGAAACAAATTCTTATGCTTCTACTACTAGAATCTTCTTGTCGCACGTCTTCTTCTGAATGCCAATTCATTTGTCATGTTTCTTCTTGTCAAACGGCAGGGGAAAAAGAAGTAAAGACACTAATCCCAGGCAGAAAAAACAATATCATTCGAAGAAATTTTTTCACTTTTTGTGTTAGACAAGAGAGAAGAAAAATATTAATCTTTTTGGAGAAAAAAAAAATCAAAAATCAAAAAATCCGAATTTTTAGAATTCTAAAATTCTGTGATTTTGAAAAGTGGCCTAGTTCAGAGAAAACAAATATCGTTATATTTTTTCTTATGAAATTTGTGAAATTTTGAGTATAATATTGGCTATAATCCTTAAAATTTGATTTTGGGCCAGCCGGCCGGGCCGCGGCCTAATTATGGTCGAAAATCAAAACTGCCAGAATGTAGTCGATATGGGGCTCAGAATGTTGGAAATTTCAAGACAAAATAGACTATAACATTTAAAAATAATGAGACTGTCCCATTTGTCCCTTAAGTGCCACTAACGATTTTTCAGTTTTTTTCAAGTTCTAGATCCTTTCACATAAATTTCTCCAGTAAAAATAAAATGAGAGGAGTAATAAGCGTAAATGAAAATAAGAAAATAAATGATGGAAGAAGCGACGAAAAAATAATAATAAGCTCTCTTTTCTCCAGGGAGAAAGTGAGAGAGAGAGAGAGAGAGAGAGAGAGAGAGAGAGAGAGAGAGAGAGAGAGAGAGAGAGGAAGCTCCTAGGCGAGAGACTGAGCTTATTATTATTAAGACTAGGAAATGTGTGAGAATCTACATAAAAGGGGAAAACCATGGTCCCTTAGCTATGCTAATTGTGGTGTTTTCTGGAAAGTTCTATGTCTGTCTGTATGTCTGTCTATCCGAAAAAGGACAAAATGTGTGACCAAAAGGGAAACAAATGGGTGTCAGCGGAATGGATTTGAAACGGACGACTGGACACATTATAATACAAAACTAGTAGGATTTCGAGTAGAGAGATGGATCAGTGAGAGACGCAGAGAACCCATTGTTCTGCTGAGTTCACTTTGAACTCAATTATCTCGGCTCCAGTAAAAGATATAAAAAAGTGACCAACTGATAAAATATTGGTGATAAACTGATAAACATTTTATCAGTTAGTTACTTTATGATATCTTTCAAAAGAACCGAGATAATTGAGCTCAAACTTCATGTATACGGTGGACCTCATAAGGTATATCTTGTTCCTCAGAATGATTCCCTTTACCTTTACAAAATCTCTAGTAGATTTACGAGCGGCTCGTAAACCTACACAAGAACGTTTTTTGAGAAGCCCCTGTTTTCCTATCGCATTTCACTGATTACTTCATCAGCGCGAGCACTTTCACTAGATGAGTTCTCTCCAGAAAAATTCAATTAAAATCCCAAAAAGTGCAAGGCTATAAATTAGGGAAGGGACCAAATGCGCCCTTTTGGGGATAAAGAATCAAAAAAGGAAAAAAGAAGATTTTGAGCAACAAGGAGTCGAACTCGTGAGGGTCGGATCAAAAACTCCACAGGTAAAATGCGAACGGATCCGTTTCGGTGTCCACTAGGTTTTCTATCCGTAACGGGTCCGTTACGGGCAGTTTCGCGAATCTGAGTTCGCGAACGGATCCGTTTTTTCAACATTCGCAATCGGACAGGATACGGAGTTCGCGAACGGACCGGATACGGATGCAGCTGGAGGTCGAGAGATAGCTCCCATGCCCATTCGCGAACGGATCCGTTCCGGATGGCCGAGTTGTGAGGGACTAGCTTTCTCTTACCTCTTCCATCATATTTTTGCATCATTTATTTGCATTTTAAACCTATTTTTTGCCGTTTTCTCTCACTTTTCCTGGCAAATATGTTGATTTTTGACAATGATTTTTTTCGAAAGACGATTCTACAAGGAAAAAAGGTTTGTAACACAAAGGTAATTCTTCGAAACATAGGGTTTGTTATAGGTATCACTTAACCTTTTCGTGAGCAAAATGACCGAAAATGATTGATTCGAAGCTCGCGTTTGCTCCAGGAAAGATGCTTGACGAATGTAAGTATAAAATACGCTAATTTTCGAAACAATGACTTTTACACTTTTCAGCAATGGACATCTATAGAGCAAGCCGACTCCAACGTTAAAAACGAGAAAAACATTGGAACCCAAAAGCAAAAAAGGATAGTAATAGGTGATCAGTATGCAACATGTTCTGACAGATTCCCAAATTTTTTGCAGGTCTCTTTTCGTTTTGGATGATCGTTCAACAACCCAAAAAAGCAGGATTTTGATAAATTTTCGAACTTAATGTTGTACTTCTGATGTTTTTTCTTTCTTTTACATGTTTTCTTAATAAAGTTCCGAATACTAAGTCTACAACTATCATGAAAACTCAGCAAAAAATAATAGAAACTGAAAAAAGGAACGGCGAGGGTTTTCAAGAAATAAGTTGCAAACGGATCCGTTACGGATTCGCGTACGGTCCGTATACGATTCCTATTTCATCCGCGCGCGAATGGCGGAGAATCCGTAACGGATTGTTCGCGAATCACCTGTGTCCCAGTGTTAGCCACTAGGCCACGTGGTCGCATAGAGAGAAGGGAATGAAAGGCGTACAGGAGGGAAGGGGTTTTGAAACTGAAAGGGCGCGCTAATGAAAATAAACTTTTGAAAAAACTTAAAAATTTCAAAATTCAAAAAATATTTTCTGCAATTTTCTAAATATTCATATATTTTCGGGGGGTAGAGGCATATATAATAAAGGGAAAGGAGGTCCCAAAAAAAATGGAAATGCCTACCCCACCCATATCTTGAGAGAAGGCTGCTCGTAAATGGGCGTACTCAGGCCAATATTAAGATTTTTATGCGTTTTTGGACCCCCTCATCTATATATTTCCCGTCGTTTTTGCAAAAATGTCAATAGTATATGCTTTCAGAGGGGGCGAAATTTCGGGATGGGACTCCCAGCCTGGGAGGGAAATATAGAAATTTCTAAAATTCATGAGATTTTAGAGACAAAAACAGAAGGAATGGAATTTTCCAAGCTTAAAAATGACTTTAGAATCAATACACTACTTCAAGAAATAATTCAAAAAAGGAAGGAAAGAGTTCGGCGCTCGGTGGAATCGAACTTGACAGTGACAGATCCAAAAACAGGAGAGTTAACCCCTCGGTCACGCTGCCGCACACTCTTCTTCGCTACAGAGGACAATGATAACAGTGCCGCCGACCGCATTTTTTTTAGCTTTTTCATTTAAAAATTGGATTGAATTTTTCTAGGTGGGAACATATAAGGTTGCTTTTAGATCTCAAAAAGAAACGTAAAAGGGTAAAACCTAGAGAGGGAAGTGAGATTGGTTGACAGGTAGAAAGTAGAGACAAACTACCATAAATCATGTTTGCCTAGCGTTTCGCTTAGGGGCAAAAATTGATTTGTTCTGGGAATTGGGAAAAGAAAAGAAAACTGACTATGAGTTATTTGAAGTTTTTTTTAATTGTCTAGACAGGCCAAAATTAAAAAGACGGCACAAAACTTGTGCTTCTAGGCTCTAGAAGCGTCTAGAAAGGATTTTAGGATAATGGAACATAACTCAATTAGAAATCATTCAAATCTATATACCTTCTATTGAATCGGTGTAAAATTTGATTTCCTATCGATAGATATATTAACCATCTTCGTAGACCAGTTTTGAACAAAGTTATAGCCAAAAAACCAAGCGGCCTAGGTAACCAAATCTAGTCGGCCGGCGGCATCATGAGCCTAGGATAACGAAAAGCGGATATATGAAGCTAATAAGAAAGATAGAGAGAGAGTGAGAGAATTAGAGAAACAGAGAAAACAATTTTAATTGTGTAATAAGAAATGTGTGGTGCTGTTGAGTAGCGCAAAGTGATGAATGGATTTTCGTGTAGTTCAGGGGGAGGGAAATTAAGAAGATGATTGCTCAGCACCAAATACTTCTTGTGTAATAATGAGACAAGAAAAAGAATCTAAGAATCTAAGAATCTAAGAATCTAAGAATCTAAGAATCTAAGAATCTAAGAATCTACGAATCTAAGAATCTAAGAATCTAAGAATCTAAGAATCTAAGAATCTAAGAATCTAAGAATCTAAGAATCTAAGAATCTAAGAATCTAAGAATCTAAGAATCTAAGAATCTAAGAATCTAAGAATCTAAGAATCTAAGAATCTAAGAATCTAAGAATCTAAGAATCTAAGAATCTAAGAATCTAAGAATCTAAGAATCTAAGAATCTAAGAATCTAAGAATCTAAGAATCTAAGAATACTATGCGCCTTTAAAAGAACAAAACGAGGGAAAAAATAAGTCAAGACCCTCCAGAAGCCAAAAGTATTCGGTCCCGGGTGTTCCCGTGGGAACACCCGAATGTCTTTGGGTATGTGTGTGTGTCCATGAATCAGAAGTCTTCTACTAGTTGGTGTCAGTATCAAGAGTAAGAGAAGGGACGTAGAAAACGAAAAGAGAGAGAGGGAGAGAGGAGCATTCAATCGGAAACGGAATATATAAAACAAAACATCAAGAAATAGGAATAGGAGAGATGGAGATTGTGAATAAGGGTAAGCAAAAGGGGAAGAATATGAAAGAAAATGAAACCGACCCCCCTCACAGAAAGGGGCAGGGAAAGGATATCATTTATTCAGGAGGACACACACTAGCAAAATGGATTTAAGGGAGTTTTGATGTTTAGATTTTTCTGAATTTTGGAACTTTTAATTAGTACTCGCTTCTTGAATCCCAGATATCTCGGTTCCTGAACATTTTATCAGTTGACAACTTTTTGATATCTATTACAGGAACCGAGATAATTAGGCTTAAAGCACAAACGATATGAGCAATTAAGGTAACTTAAAAACGCTTCCACCTTGAGCTCAGTTATCACAGTTCTTATGAGAGATATCAAAATTCAGTCAACTGATAAAAAGTTTGTGATAATATTTCCTATATTTTATCTGTTGACAGATGCTCGATATCTCTTAGGGGAATCAAGATAATTAAGCTTAAAGAATAAAGTGATAAAAATTTAGGGATTTTTTGCCAGTAAATTTTTTCCGATGATTCAGACGAAACAGAAAAAAGAAGTAATACTAAAAATGGGAAAATGCTTTAAAAAAGGGAAAACAAGATGAGTCATGTTGAGGGAAGATTAAAAAGAGATAAGGAATTATTTAGCTGAAACGGATTTTAACGAATTTGTTTGGATGACCGAGAAATTTCAAAGTTAGGCCAGCTGACGGAAAACTAGGCCACATGAAGAAATTAGTATACGTTTTCTCTATAGATAATGCTAGCTTAATTACACTAATTAAGTAATAATATAAAAATGCTGATAACGAAAAGGTCCTATTATGCATACATAAATCTTCCTGCCTCCTTTTTTCTTATCTTCTCTTATCGATTTGACCTTCTCTCTCTCTCTCTCTCTCTCTCTCTCTCTCTCTCTCGCTTATCCAATACATAACAGATGAGAGAGAGAGAGAGATGAGATGACGTGAGATGTCTTCTAGGATCAAAAGAGGACCTTTTCTAAATAGTTTAATTGGAAAGAGAGAGA